GGTGTTTGTGAGAGAATATCTAAAGTAGGTACAAGTCATGATGCTGAAATTCTGATCGGAACCTTGAGCAACTCTGATATTCTAGGTGGTTCTTTTTTTGGACCATTTTTTCGGAAATCCTCGATTGACAATTATGAAATAATTTGCTATAATTAGTTAGTTGGTTGTAATCTTATTGCACAGTAAGCTTAGGAAAGTCCTACTCAGTTTAGCATACAAAACCCACCTCCATCGTGGTACACACATGCAGGCTTTTCATCCTTACCCTCTGACAAATTGTCATTCATTAGATGGCTTAACTGACGAGGAAACCCAAGTTTCTCGACAGTCGTACGCTGGTCTGCTGTGGAGCAAACAGTTTTACCATTACATAATTCAAGACTGGTTAAAAGGAGACCCGGAGGCGCCGGCTCCACCGAGGGACAGACTCAAAGGAAGGAACTCAGAGGCAGAATGGGCCCAGCTATTCAACAGAGATGTTGTTTCCATGCCAGACAAGTGGGAGTATCCATGGGTGAGTCGAACAATTATCAACGTTTTTTTTTCCAATTTAAGGTGGCACTATGAGATCATGACACCATCGTTGGAGACCAGAAGATAACTGATCGGGCCAGGTTGATTCAAGACAGGAAGGGAAGGGACAAAGTTACATTAGAATTGGGTGAAAATCGGTGCGACAATTTCGGCTTCACCGTTTCCCGACTCAATTTTTTCCCTACGTTTGAAACACTGCTCTGATCTCAGGAAGTGTCGATGAATGAGGGTGTGCTCCTTCCAAAAATCTGGATGTGGTTGTTAAGAAATCGGTTTCCATGCTTTTATTGTCCTCTTAACATGGTTTTATATTGCGTACGTTGCGTTTTGATTCGCTTACAGGACATAGGTTATGGGCCCTGAGTCAGTCTCTTACAGTGACTCGTAAAAAAAAAAAACCGACTTCATCAAACTAAGACTATGCGAAACACGTTCCCTTAATCAAACCAAGCCACTAGTTTTCAGATCTTTAAATGTGACTGTTATTAGTGACTAAACGTTTCTTCGAACAACTCTTTTTTTTAAGTATGCCACATGGGACCTAGCATTCCACATGCTGGCGTTCAGCAAAATCGATCCACAGTTTGCCAAAGACCAGTTACTTTTGTTCCTCCGGGAGTGGTACATGGCCCCCAACGGTCAGCTCCCAGCCTATGAGTTTGCCCTGGGGGATGTGAACCCCCCGGTTCATGCACTTGCATGTCTCATGGTCTACAAGATGACGGGCCGTAAAGGAGCAAGGGACGACGAATTTTTAGCTCGATGTTTCCAGAAACTGCTCATAAACTTCACGTGGTAAGAGAACGTTACATTTAACTAGTTGCACTCTTAAAAATCATCGCATGTAGAGAGAAAATTCATTCCGTGCGAAGAGAGCTGCTGCACTTGTCAACTTTGTTTAATAAGTTAAAGTTTACACGGTTGTAAGACGAAGAGTGCAGCACTTCTCCTGATCAGAGAATTTTTCTATTCCTTACTTGTTAACAGGTGGGTGAACAGAAAGGATCCCTCAGGAAAGAACATATTTGGTGGTGGTTTTCTTGGACTTGATAACATTGGTGAGCAATCTTGAGTAATGCGAACTCTTGAATGCGTTCCAAGCACGGCTAACTGTCAATCCACTTAGTTAATACTTTCCATTCCTGTAAATGGTAGTATTGAAAATGTATGTCACATCTGCTATTATCACATCATTGGAAGTTAGGAAAATCTTCGCTCTTTCCACCTTGTTATTAATGGATATTAACGTCTTGCAACTTCTTTTTAAGGAATATTTGATCGGTCAAAGGATTTGCCTATTCACGCAAATCTCTTGCAGGTACGGTTGTTTTTCTTTTTGTCATTTCTTTCATTCAGGTCTCCTCCTGTCTTAGTAAGCGAGAATGTCGATGTAAAATGACGCTCTGAAGTCTCTCATATTTGCTTCGCCTAGGAAAAACAATGTTGACGTAAACAGTGGCAATTTAATTTACAGTTGCGTCCTTTTAAACTTTCATGGACGATTCTGGTGACTTTCTGTTTCTTATTCTCACCTTAGGCTGACGGCACCGCGTGGATGGCTTTCTACTGTGTTATAATGTTGAACATCGCTCTGGATCTCTCAATGAAAGACGACACCTATGAAGACATGGCATCTAAGTTTTTCGAGCATTTCACGCAAATTTCAGACGCCATAAATGAAATGTCTGACGGTGTTGGTTTATGGGATCCAGTCGATGGATTTTATTACGATCATCTCACTACCGAGACGTGTTCTTTACCATTGCGCGTGCGCAGCATGGTCGGCCTCGTTCCTTTGATGGCATGCCTTGTGCTTGATGACGAATACATGGAAAAACTTCCTGGATTTAGAAAACGACTCGAGTGGTTCATGAAGAACCGACCAGACCTTGCTTCTCAGGTTAGTGACCTGCTAGACACTGAGTAGTGAATCAGTGCTCCAGGAAAGAAGAAGAAAACATCGGTGTCCACACACTTGTTCTGTTTTTACTATATGAAAAGAAAGGTAAAATCGAGTAACCTATCGTGATGCCCCTTTTTGAGCGAGACTCATTTTTTCATCCGCGGTCGGAAGAGGACAAAGAAAACCAAAGTGGTGCGAAATTTCGCGTTGTATGTTTTGCAGTGCTCGGCAACTTCAGGGTCTTGAAAACCTTGTCGCACTTTTCTTTTTGTAGGTGTCGTACATGGATGGGGATGGCGAGAGCCAATATCACCATTTGCTTGCTATACCCACCAAGGATCAGCTGCACCGTGTACTCAGCTACATGTTAGACGAAGATGAGTTCCTGTCCCCTTTTGGTATCCGTTCCTTGTCCAAGTTTCACGAGAAGAACCCATTTAAATTAGAACTAAACGGTGAAGTTTACAGCGTGCAGTATGTGCCAGGAGAATCGGACACATTCATGTTTGGTGGGAACAGCAACTGGCGAGGACCCATCTGGGTTTGTAGTAAGTACTGAGTAAACTTATGCCCAACACCACTCTAGTGAGATTGGTCAAATAGGCTTGTCAACGGGAGAGTTACTAATAGGTAGTTTAAGGTGATCCTCAGCAATGCACTTTGCATCCCGCTCGGCGCATTTTCGCGCCTTGCTGCCCAAAATTAGTCACAGCTTTTCTTTCTAGGAAATTGCCTTAAATCTCCGAGTGCCAATCGTCAAGCGCGCATGGTGGATCTCGTAGATCGCTCACTTTCAGTAAACGTTTGCATAATTTTCCATGACTTCTAGTCCCTGAAAAGACGGAGCAAATTAACTCTCCAAGTTAGCGCGATTTATGGGAATCAATGTTTTATTGAACGCAAAAATTCAAACTCAAATAGCACTCAGTCAGGTGGTAGACCACTTCCATTCTACGCACAACTTCTAACGACGTTATTGTGCCGAAGAAGAGAGTGCACTTCTGATTTTCTTCCCTGGTACAAATTTCCTTGTTTTTCAGTGAACTATCTTCTAATTGAGGCTCTGGAACGTTACGACTATTTCTATGGTGACAAATTCATGATTGAATGCCCCACCCGGTCGGGAAACCTGATGCGCTTACGCGACGTAGCCCTTGAGCTCTGTCGACGTGTTGTGTCTCTGTTTTTGCCAAATGAACAAGGACGGCGGCCGTGTCATGGTGACGATGACAGGTACACCTATGATGTGTTTTGGAATAATTTGGTGCTGTTTTACGAGTACTTTCATCCTGAGACGGGACGAGGATGCGGAGCTAGGTAAGTCGTGAAATTAAGGGTACTGTGTTAAGATGCCTAGACTGAGAAGGCTAGTTCTACCCTGGCTCATAAATTTCACGTTCGTTCGTGGAGCTGCCAAACTAGATCATTCTTCCAAGAAAGCTTAGAAGACTGAAGTGGTACAGGTTTGTGCCCTCGTTTGATTTTTTCCTCGCTAAGTAGGACAGAACTCGACAATTATGGCACAAAGGTCGGGAGTATTTACGCCAACTCTGTATCAGTCGACTCTCGTCAAACGTCATGTTAACTTTATTTATGAGTTATCTCTTTGTTGGAAGACAGATTGACTCAAGAAACTGGTTTCCTCCTTATATTTCCCAACTTAAGACTTTTTTATATACCACTCCTGTCCATGTTCTGTTGATTGAAACGTTACATTGCGTTCTTCACAGCCATCAAACAGGATGGACGGCTCTGGTTAGTCGATTGTTGGAGAAGCTGGCCAAAAACCGTTAAAGCATGTAACTCACATTTTGCTACGTCGAAAAGAAGCAGAGAATATCTTTTATGTATCTGTTCGTCCGTTTGCCATGAGTTTAAGTAAAGCCCCTTTAGTGGACACTGCACGGATTTAGACTAAATAGTTTTGATAGGATTTAAACATAACCATACTTTTATCCTACTTAATTTTAACTTCAACTTTAACACGCACTTGTCTGACAAGTTGTATCTTTTTACACATCGTAATTTTAAAGCACGTTGTCCAAAAAATTGATTTTTTGCCGGTGAAAGGAGAATTTTCTTCGTAGGTGTATTGTTTGTATAAATTCCGGTATTTTCTAATAAAAATGTAACAGACCAGAATATCTGGCTTGAGAATTTAGAAGACGTTTTAAAATGAAAAATAGAACAAGAAAATGATGATGACGCGGAGAAAATAATTTCTTTGTTACGGTTTGCTAGGTTGTCAATTGAAATTCAAGGATAAGAACTAGGCAGAATTTTTTTAATGGTTTTATTCATGTTATAAGGCGTAAAGTATTTAAGTTTTGTTATATAGGTATGGTGCAGTTGAGGCATATTTCTCGAGTCTCTCTTTTTTTTGTAATATTAAAAAACCCTAGCCACAAGAGATGTCATATTTTAAACGGGCATATGTTTCTATTAAAGAAAAATACATCTTTATTTCAGTTGCCGTGTAGAAATAAAGGGATTAATGCAGTGTAACCCGGATTTCTCAACATTTCCTTCATGTTGAAAGTTTCCTTTCTTTTCCTTTCCTTTACCTTGTAAAAAAATTGTATTCCCTAGAATTCTTACGAGGGACAATTTGGCCTTGTTTTAGCCAAGAAACCTCATTTGGTAATGGCGCTGTTTTCTTTATACTTTTTAGGTTATAAGTTTCATTACTAGCAATGTGGACGTACTTATCATAACACGATGATATCTTTTTGCACAACACAGTGTACACTTTTATGTGATCGATACATCTGTGCGGTCGCTAAGTGCTTGATGGAACATCACTAACTTCGGTGATATCAGCACCTCCCGGATTAACGGGTGCTGCAGGTGTGCCAGCTTGCGCGGGCAAACTAGTAATCCGGGGGTCGTCTGATGCGTCGTTCATCTCCCGTAGTGAAATACTATCCGCAGTGGCAGAGTTTGAATTTTCCTCAATTGTATCTCTATTTTTTTCATTTTCACTCTCAAGAGTTACGCTATCAGAGTCTCGTTGCACGCCCTCCGTGATCGGAGCTTCAGACGATGGTATCAGGTCGGCTATCATCGGAACATCTTCGGAACGAGTCAGTGTATTATCTGTCGTTTTCCTCTCGATAGCAACATCTGCTTGCAAGTCTGGCACGACAGTTTCGGAGGCTTGAATAGGATCTCCTACTGGGGAAGTTACTGAAGTATTATTTTCTTTTTGATGTGGTATCGGAGGTGAAAAGGTCTGCTCTAAAGCAGTTGATACAACATCGGTGTCGGAGCCCGAAGTTTGATCGTTACCTGTGTCGGTTCCCGAAGATCCTTTTGTTTGATGTGAAACTGACGTATTGGCCGAGGAAGTCTGGTAAAAAAGATATTCCAAATTAAGAGGGTGCTATGTTAAGTGAGCAGTTTGTTTTTTAGGCCTGTTGCTGGAACTTGTTTGGTTCCCATGGCAACTTGCCGTTACCTGTTTACAGTATGCTCAATAGTGGAGAGTGGCACTGTGAGAGTGGGGGGGGGGGGAGGAAAACTGGAGAATCGTGGTAATGTCAGTGAAACTTGGACATTACAACTTATCAGTTTCACGCCGTTTAAGGGAAGACATGACGTGCAAGATTACCTGTGGCTTGACGAGCTGTTGACAGTACTTCAAAGCCTGATCCAACAGAGACGTTGGGGAGTCTGTTGGTGTGTCCTGACCAAGTTTAAGCGACTCTCCTGAAGCCGACTGTGGTCAAGAAAATTCGTGCATCAATTTTAAAATAGTAACCTGCGTGAGAGGTACTCAAATTAAATAGGGGCGTGTGATTTAGATCGGCACGCGCAAGCAAGGAGTCACACGCGCGCGACTTCTTCGTCCCACGCGTGTGTGCGCTCTTTTACGTGTGTTACTTGCGTTCTTGCCCGCACCTGCCACGCGGGCTAAAAATTGTAGCAAAGGTGCAACACACTTCGGACTATCTAACGAGATAGTTGAATTTCTCAAGTCAAGAGAAGCGCATGCTCTTATTTGTCTAGGATTATGTCATATTTCGTTACACTCAATCCATGGAAGGAGAAGCACTAATTCTCAAAATGGCTACCGAATTTCTTAAGTCAAGAGATGCGCATGCTCTTATTAGTCTAGGATTACGTCATATTTCGTTACACTCAACCCGCAGAAGGAGAAGCACTAATTCTCAAAATGGCTACCGAATTTCTTAAGTCAAGAGATGCGCATGCTCTTATTAGTCTAGGATTATGTCATATTTTGTTACACTCAACCCGCGGAAGGAGAAGCGCCAATTCTCAAAATGGCTACCGCGCGAAGTTTTGATGTTTCTGAAGACGAAACTACAAGAAAATGCAGTAACCCTGATAATAACTTAAGTATTATAATAGGGAAAATGTTCTCCTTAGATTAATCGCAACTAGATTATCTTCTAAGCTCGAATAGCAATCCCTGATTTTGTAAAAACACAGACTACGAACAGTCTGCAAGGACAAGAGCAAACATCTGAGACTTATGAGACACATAGGCAGTGGAAGAGAGGAGAGGTCGATATAATCTACAAAGGATGGATGTGACTTGTTGACGTTTTCACTTTATGAACTGTAAGCTGATTCTCTTTCCTGACGACCGGCCATAAAGTACTCTGTTGGCGGATCCCGAAAATTGCGCATGTGCCCAAAAGTTTCACACTATTGATAATTTTCTTAATTCTCATTAATCATCATATCAATGACATGTTGAAATTGTAAAAGGAATATGGATACTGATCACTCTTTGAAACATAGACGTTGACAGAGTAACGCGGAGTCAGAAGAAACTCACCTGGGAAGCCGTGAACATCTCAAAGGCCTGTGTCAGTAAACCCTCTGTCGCCTGGGTAAAGCAAACAATACAAATCAACTGAGACAATTTGATGCAAACGTACGTAAGAATAGTGAAGAAAAGAGCTGCAAGAATGGTTAACCTAGGTCAAAAATACTGACTGCATTGGCATTTGTTCCAACGAAGGGCTAGCACTACAGACTTCAGCTTATGAAAATATGCTACAGCGTTTCACCTATCTTTATCAAATTATAGCTAAAAACCAACTAGGTGTTCAACTTGCCCACTGACTTATCACAACAGTCTGTTAAGAAACTGGTAACTTCGTACCTTGACATGGGCCTCGTATCTTTGTCCAGTTTTCCAGCACTCGTATGCATCCATAACCAGTTGGGAAAGTAACGAGACCTCAACCTTCGTAGCCAGAAATAACAAAGAAATAAATTAGCTGAAACCAGCATTTCCTTACAAAAAGAGCCGGGTTTTAACACAATGAACTTCTTCCAATTTTAAGTAGTCTAAGCTGGGATTATACTGAATCCAGTTTCTCTGTTTCTTTACACAACAAACTCAAAATAGAGGGACATGATGTGATGATGTGGATGCAAATTTCTGAGATAGAACTGAATAAAAATTTCCAAAAGTATCGAGCGAGGCACATCGTCTTCGTACTCCTCCGGAAAAAAGGGCAAAAGCACAAATGACATAAGTGCCGGGAAGTTCTTTTCTGACGTTTTGACCGGTGAAAAGTAACAAAGAAACTCACTTATTGAAAGCGAATTAGGGATGGAGATTCCTTAAAAATTTGTCTCCTCTGCCTCCTTGAGGAAGCTTTTACAACAATAGCGACCCTCTAAAAGCTCTCTGTCAGCAATATGAAATATAGTGCACAGGAGAGAATGAGGTAAGAGACCTGTATCGGCCTCACTCTTAAGGTAATTCGTTTTGAGTTATTTTTAGAAACCCTAATTACGGTACGTGTTCTCATTTCCCACGTCATACCTTAGGGTCCTGCTTGGAAACTCTCACTTTCATTATTTCCAGAGAATACTCAAATGCCTGCAAAGCAAACTTAAGATATGAATATTCTACCCAAAGATACGAAACGAATGCATAGGACATCTTAAATCCATTGGAATGAACTGGAATATTTATCACCTTCCTGGCCAAATAGTTCCTTTCATTGTCCCTCAAGTATTTCCTGACCAAAATTAAAAGAGAAACGATGCTGAGGTTAGTCAGGCTGAAAAACACCATCCACAGGAAACCTTCAGGTAGCTTCTAATACGAAATTTCCAACCAAAAATTTTAGATGCGAGCATTTATCAACAGTTTCCGCGACTTACTTGCCCGCCTCCGGTGTTCGATAAAGAAGAGCCTGAATGAGTAACAACGTGTCCCACTCGTTTAACTCGCGGAGAACTTCCAGCATCAAAGCTACTGACTTATAGGTGTGTGTGCAAAAACATCCCGGCCTGCAGTGAAATATCATTGGTTAGAATGAAAAGAAATAACATCCAGGAGACCAAAAGATTCAAACAGGGGTCAAACAGATGAGTCTCCGAACCGACACCACTGAGACAAAGAATGTGTAGAAAAATAAATAAATGACTAAATAATTGAACGTTAAAAAGCGTCATTCGAATCAAACATCTTAGACGTTATCACATTATTATCATATTTTAAACGGTGACCTATTTCAATACCTGTCTATATCTTCTTCTGGAATTCTCCAAAAGGCCTGTTAGAAAAAAAACAAACAAAAAACCAGTCTTTAATATATTTTACCTGCCGTGTGAGCTCACTTTGGAAAAGAGTGAAAGTCTGGGAACGAGAGTCACCGCGCAAGCGTTTATGGGATTATTTTGTAGAGGGGATGCTCAAAACTTTTAAGACAGGGATGACATGTATACGACTATGACTTCGTTTCTGCAGTTTTCAAAAGTAAATGAAATAATTAAAAATCAAACAAAAATAGTTTACGATCCTTTTGAAAGCAGAAATTAGTGTCTTTTACAGGAAAACCCTCCACTGAAAATTGTCAGCAGTCTCGCTTGATTTAATGTTTTCGTTAAATTACCGGACAGAAAGTGACAAAAGAATAAATCAGTACCATAAAGATTACTGTAAGCAACTCAAACTCCTTACCGAGAACAGGTTTGTTTTGCTTTTCTCGTTGAAAAGTCCTTGAGGCGGGAAGGGAAACGTCTTGCACTGTCTTGTATTGCTGCCTAACAGTAAATCACGACAGACACTGGTTTCCTACCAGGAACACAATGACTACTTTAATGCAATGTAATGATTAAAAAACCAGAAATTATTGCGTCTTTTTTATGTTCAAGGAAGACTCGTAAAACCCACGCCAGCCAACAGTGCGAATTTCGAAGAGACAACAAGACAAAAGATTGCGTTACCTTATGCTCAGAAGAGTAGTAGTAGACATAAGCCAGGCGATAGCGCGACTTGTGATGCTGAGAAAACCGCCGAAGACAATACTCAAGAGCACGAATACAGAGATCCATGAGTTCTCTCTTCTTTGCCTGCTGTTCCTCTGTCAATGGCAGCTTCGTGTTCTCCATCGGTGTCACGCTAGAAGCGGAAACTCCAGCGGGGTCAGTAGTCGGTGTCACAGAGACAGCAGGAGGCGTCTCTGTCACTGGTTCATCAGGCGATGTTGATAAAATTGCACTGGTATTTTCCGTCATTTCAACATTTTCTGTACCATGAGTAGGAATATCCTCAGTCTCCATCTTTTCTGGTTTACTGTTGACCTCAGTGTCTTCATTCGACGTAATCTCTTTATCCGTTTTGATTTCTGTATCTTCGAAATTTAGAGTGGACTCAACTGCTTCTTGAGTTTCCTGGTCAGCAGAGCTTTCCTCCAGTTTATCGAGACTCTTAACATTTTCTTCTTCATCCTTGAGTTTGTTTTCCAAGCACGTGACCGATTCCTGTTCCCCGGCATGCTCAACTTCCATACCCGTTTCCCCTACACCTTCTTCCGCATTTAACTCTTCAACAGTTTTCCCATCACCAATTACATCTGAGCCAGCTAAAGATAGCTCGGTATCTTTGGAACTTTCCATTTCTTCCTCACCCTTGGCACATTGATCAGCATACTTAGAATCATTTTTTTCCGAGGCTTGAAAAGCTTGTTTTGTTTCCAAGCTCTCGCGCTGCTCATTAGAACTAACTTCTAAAGGGGTCTGGGAACTATCCGTGGTCTCCTCTGCAGGTGTAAACCTGCTCGGTTCATTACTCAAGTCAACTTCCATCGGCGTCGGGTCCAAGGATTGTTCACTTTGCGAACCTGCCTCAACTTTGTTTGTTGAGACTGTAGGGGCTTCCGCAGCGGAAACCTCCCGGGTGGCGATTTTATGTTCTTCTGCAATGTTACCCTCTGCTTGAGGCGGATTGAAGTCTTCACCTTGTCGGGGCTCAGGAGAAATTACAGAATTGGCTACACCACTAGCCTCAGAAGACTTTGGCTCGCTTTGCTTAGTGTCTTCGAAAACGCTACTTGACAAAGATTCTACGACACGACAACAAAAGAGTTCAGAGACAAGTAGGTTATTGCCCCATGTTTCCTGAGCCCTTAGGCATTTTTGGAAGTTATCCTTTAGCTCCACGCTGAGCCTCGTTTCATCAAAGAAACGACTTTTTTCGCATCACAAAGTTTCAAAGATTTCATTTAATGCAAAACCGATTTTCTCGAAGTAGGAGCAGCGCTAATTCAAATTTTACTGCCAAAGGATACTCGCATTCAATGCTTCCAGGCTCAAACAATTCCTTCCAAAACTTTGTCTCAAATTTGGCGGGTGCATGACACAAACCTGATGTAGTGGACTCGGTCCTGTAGACGTTCCCCGGTCCAATATCAGTGTCAAACTCCGCGTGATAAAAGGGCCCCTTAGACGCTCTCTGAAGATGATCTTCAAGGACACCAACGTCAACATCCGGGAACTTGTCAAAGAGAAGTTTAAGAACTGACACATGGATGCGGAAATAAATCTGCAAGATTTTAGAAGGAGAATGGATTATAGGCTTGG